ACTTTTGTCAGCGAAATAACAATGGCCTCTTAATTACACCAGTGTGTGCCGCTGTCTTTGAATGTGTGGGTTTTTTCGTGAGTGTGGGTGAAGGATATTAAACACTGAAAAAATAATTATTAAGGAATTAAGAAAGTCTACCAAAAATGTAGTTCTAGGTTTTAAAAGCAATGACTTTGACCAGGGATTCAAAGAAGATATATACAGAAGATACTCTTACGGCTTGAAGTTTCTTAAAAACGGTGTCTAAAAGTATGCAACGAAACCTAAAAGAGTATCATAATTTTGGTTTATTAATCATAGGACTATATATAGATTTAGTAAAGTAGAAGAGGGAGTGGTTTTTAAGAAAGTCAAGAAACAGCATGCTTATTTAAGGCAATTAAAAGCATCGTTTTGAAATCTTCTGAAGTTCTAGGTATCCTTTTTTCAGTGCAACATGCAGACAAGTACTAGTGTTTGTTTAGTCAGATGTTTGCTCGACACTTTCCTTTGGCTTTTCCTTTGCTTGGCGGCTCTTGCTTTTGGCCAGCACTTGTTGGCAAGTTTTCTTTTGGCCTTTTTTGTCGTCGCCTGCCGTTTCCTTTGCATTCCTTTGACTGTGACTATGACTTCGCCTGGTTTGGCATAATGAGCACACACATCTCGAAGGAGAGTCCGCATGTGACGATCCTCCGACAGGATGTTAATTTCAATTTAAATGCCGGCCAGCTCCTTGAGAGCTCACTATGTCCTTCGGCGCCCCAGGCGAATGTCGTCTCAAGCAACTTTGTCCAGCTTGGGTCAACTTCCTTGGCTCACTTTTGACTGCCACTTTCGGCCTCCCTGCAATTGCATTGACCAAAAGTCAAGAGGGCCTGCGGCCTTGGCCTGTGAACTTTAATTGGATTCTTTGCGAGGAGGAACTTATTCCTGCTCCTAGTCGAAATGAATTCATTTCGGGCGTGTGTTGACTCAATTTGGCTTCCTGGAAATAACCCCATTGCTGATCTTTCGCCACTCATTTGGCTAATTAAAATGGCATGAACAAACAGAAGCTCATCCACTTACATTTATGAATTATCGGTTCGAATATAGCACACCGTCATGCCACGCCCCCCGCTCCCGCCGCTCGCCCCTTCTGACAGCCCATAATTCACACATCGAACTTTGGGGTTACGGGCTAAATCTTGGAACAGCCGCGGAAATCACGTACAGCCAGGGCGAAAGTTGCCGGATCCTTGGCATTATTGTCTTTTAAGCTAACCCAGTTCCCCACGTTCGCCCTTTCCCCATCGACCACAACAGCTAATTAACGTTAATTTATTAAATCAGTGAGCAAGTAAAGGCATCCGAGCAACTTTCCTGCAAAAACTGGGATGGGAAATGGGGCAAAAACAGCGCCAAGAGCTGGCAGAGATAAAAGTTGCACACGACTCTGCTCGGTTCTGAAGCTCAGGCTTAAGCACTTTGGGTTTTTTCAATACCCAGCAGTTGGGAATATCAAGGGTATATTGGGTTCCTAACCCTTTATAGATAAAGCACATACAGTGTGTGTGTCGGCAGACAAAAATTCTATAACCACGGGATAGGTACGTGGTGGACTTAACGGAATTTCGCTAAACCTTTTCCTCAAAAAAAATATTCTATATATTCTTAGATCAAGAAAACATATTAAATGGTTTTTTCATTGTATACATTTTTTGAACTTCCCAATTATTATTTCCAGGGTATCCCGTACATCATATAACCCCATTAGAAATCCCTCGCATTCTTACTTGTCTTAGCTGGAAAAGCATGAAAACCACACGCAGCAATTATTAATTCAATTATTTTAGCGCAAACAGCCACCTCAGACTAGGAGCGAGAATCCAAGAATCCTTGAAACCGAGAATCCGAGAATCCTGCAGGACCAAGACGCAGGAAGCTGTGTGGCATAAATGAGTTCTCTTTTCAGTGCGAGTGGATGAAATAGAGTAGCACAAACACAATTAAGACAGCAGGGGATGGGAATGGCATTGGGGGTAGGAAAAAGAAAGAAAGGCGAGCAAATAAAGTGGCAAATTTAATTAGGAATCAGCAGAGAAGACAAAAGTGCAGCTCTTTGAGTGCGGGGAATACCTGATGATAACCCACATCAGTCCGCCGGACATGTGAATTAATAACAGCATCCGTTTCCGGTGGAAAAATGGAGGGCGGTGGGCGAATTCCGGGGCACTGGAATTATAATAATAATATTAATAATGAGTGGCCAAAAAAGCAGACGGCGGACAGCGTGTCCGTAACAACTTCCGGAATTAAGTTGGCCGTTTTATTGTCGCAGGAAAAGTTTCCCCTGAGGGCAGCAAAATAAAGCGATGCCGAATGTAGGTAAATTGTAAAATGCAAAAGTTTCCCAAGTTGAAGTCACCTGCTCGGGTTCCCAAACTAGCGGAGTAAAGAGAAGGGGAAGGAGCAATCGAAACAAAGTCCCTTTTGTTTCAATTCACGTCCAAGACAATTGGCCAGGATCCAGGATCCAACAGGAAAACCGAAGCTCATCAGGCATCAAGGTATAATTTGGCCGGGGACTATTTCATTTTACGGCCAAAGTGGCGCATTTGCATAAAGTTTTATTTTCTTTGACCCGCACTTGGGGATTTCTTTGACTTGCGTCCTCGTCCTTTTTCCCCGGCTGATTTCCATTTCGTCTACTTTGTCGCCAGGAAGTGATTTCCTGCAGCTGCAGCTATTGAAATTCAATATCTTTTCGCCACTGAGGGGGCGGTGAAAAGTCCCAGAGGGAGTATTGGAGTTCCTTAAAGCCATGGATCAGCTTTAACAAGTGTTTGCACCACACATCACGGCGTCACATCGTCACCAAAATCACACATCCGTCAGCCACCCAACATCCTTGGAAGGTAATTTGAAAAACAAACAAGCAGCGAGCGACTCCCTCGCAAATCCTTTCAATTGCTGCAATTTACTGGATAAATAGGATCAAAATCGAATTTAAATGGCAAACAAATTTTTCCTGATTTCGATTTTGTTGACAGAACTTTTCACTTATGTCGCTGAATAAGCAGATTATGCCAACAGGGGTTGTCTACTGGCTATAAATCGCACACCTTCAGTCCACAAGGGGTAAAGATATACATTCACTGTTTTCCAAATATATGGGGTTTGAAATCACTAATAAAGGTGTCTAAAAGTATTCAATAAAAAGGCAATTTCATCTAAAATGTTTTATTGCCTACTTTTAGGCGTTTTTAAAGAGGACTTTAAGCCTTTAGTGTTTTCTCAGAAACCAACGAATATGAAAATGTTGCGTTTCAAACGCCTCAGAAATATTTTAATTAAATTTCGCATTTGCACTTGAATGGTTATCCCTGTGGCAGGCAAAACTATTTACGTGCCTGGAACAAAAGTGAAATCATTCGATTTTATTTATTTTCACTCGAAACTGAAAACTTTTGCCCACTTTTCCCTTACCGAATCCCCCGAAAAGAAAACTTGCGCAAAAAGGCAACCGAAAACTTTCAGAGAAAACTTTCTTGCTGCTCTCCTCTTCCACAAACATAAACAAGATTAATTTCACATGTTTTCCAGGGGGTGCCGAGGACTTTTCCGAGGGCGGGGAAAGAGCTGCTCGAGTTATTACTTTGATTATGTTTATTCTAGTCATGAAATCCAAATGCCCGTTTCATGTGCACTTCATTTAATAAACCCATGCCGCCAAGTGAAAGCGCGAAATGATTTCCATGGCATTTTTGTCTGCTCGTGCAAGTTTTCCTCACTTTGTGTGATTAGCCAAGTGAAAAAACAAGAGATTAGGCAACTATTTACAACTTCATTTGCCTATGGATAATTCGGTGGTGTGGGACTTATCATACCTCATTACTTATTCATTTTCAGATTTTATGAGGTGAGGTACAATTTACTATTTGGCTTAATTTATGGATAATACAATAGAAAAATCACCACAGTTTGTGAATTGCTTATAAAGGTGTCTAAAAGTATGCAGTAAAAAAAGAATGTGAATAAATCCGGGTGATTGGAAATATATTGTTGCTTACTTTTCGACAATTATTTACAGTGTTTTCTCGGGATAGCTCAAAATTCAATTTGCTTTCATATTTGAAGGGCAGGAAAGGACGGCCAAGACAAAGCTCTTTAATATAGCCACTAATCTCGACACTGTCTGTGATCTTTCCACTATCTGCCAATCGTTTGGCGAATTTGGCCATCATCCAATGAGCTCTTCGCCATTCTGCCCTCACTCATCTTATAGACCACATCTATATCTCAGTCGGTGCGATCTGTGGCGACTCTTAAGTGCTTTTAATTATGTCCACTTAAGTCTCAATATCGTCAGCTTCCGAAGCGCGCAAATCACAGAAAGCCACACGCAGTGCCGTTGCGATGGGACAGGAAACTGGGAAACTGGGGAGTCGGAGGAACTGCTCGGCGCACTCTAAATAAAGCATAACAATTTATGAAATTTTAATTTTTACACTTAATAACACGCCGAGTTATGGGCGCGCCAAGTGAAACGGGCCAAGCGAATTCGCCAGGGAAGTGGGAGAAATGGGAGTGGGAAATAGGGAGCTCAGGGGACTTTCTTATAGAGACATCAATGTGAGACGCACGGGCAGGTGGCCAAATCTCCGGGAGTGGGACAAATTGCGGTGCAACTTGTGTGGCACAACCGCAGACGTTGAGCGCAATTAGAGACGCCCGATATATATACTCGGTATATTTGGCCCCGACCGACTCGCGGATTATGCCATAAAGTCGAGTGGTCTCAGAAAATTTCGAACTGGAACAGGCAATTTATAGTAATTTTTATAATTTAGCTATCAATTAAAAATGAAACCCACACACAAGAGCAGTCCAATTTGTGTATAATCAAAACAGATTTTAAGACCCACCTGAAAATATGACTTTCTAATATAATAGAACCCAAAATGACTATACCTTTGCCGAATAAAACAACCATTCATATTTCTTACAAAAATCTTATTAAAGATACAAGACCTTTAGGGGGGACAATCAATAATCTACTTGATATATACAGAATTCTATAATACCGCTCAATTAGACACATCCCAACGAAAAAACATACGCATTTCCTGCCCGAACTGGCATTTCCTTCTGCTTTCAGTTTGAAATGCTCCAATCAAGAATTTTCAATTTCAATAAACGAGCAAGGAAAATTGAAAATTCTCGACGGAGGATAGTGTGATATGTTCTCCCAGTCTGTTTCTGTTCCTCAGTAGTTTCTCCTCAGTTCGTTCCCGGGTGAACGTAAAGAATTTTGACATTGTATCATGCGAAATGTTAGCCACCGGAGATCTCCGACTTTGGTTAGTTAGTTCTGGCTGGGATCGCTGGAGGTGTCCCGCTCCAAGGCCCTGTCCGAGGGGTAGATGGGATTGGAGATCTCTACGGCGTGGTTGAGTTCATCGATCATCGAGTTGATGAGACCCTGGTGCTGTTCCTGCATTTTGGCCTGCAGACGCTGGTTCTCCTCGGCCTGTCGAAGGACCAAGGACTGGAACAGGTTCTTCTGCAGCTGCAGCTCGTTCTCCACATATCCTGGTCTTTTGTGAGCTGGCACTGGTGTCCTGATGCTTTTCGGCTCATTCAAATGGGCGGTTTTGGATGGAGCGTTCGGTTTGGCAGGAGAAACTGGGTTCTTAGCCTGATTTGTACGTTTTGTGGCTACTTTGGCCTCACAGTTGCGTCGCGTTTGGTTGGCAGTCTGGGTATTGGGGATCTTGGGAATCCTGCTCACCTGGCTAGCAATCGGCTTGGGAATCCGGCTGGGATTCCTGGCTAGCGATGTCTTAGTAGGTTTTCCAATCTCTGGATCACTTTTGATGGCCAAGGTAAGCTGCGGCATGGGAATATGATCCGGATTTCTTTGGTGGTGCAGCTTGAAGAGATCAGGACTGGTGTTGCATCGCTTCGGGGGCTCCAAGGTCTTTTCTTTGGGCTGGGAGTTCTCAGGCCTCGGTGGGTCTGGTTTGGTTACCCAAGCACTCACAGACGCACCCATTTGAATGGGTGTTACCTGGAGAACAGCTCGTTGGGGCTTAGCTGGAGAAGCATCCTCGATCACCAGCTTAGAAGTCATCAGAATTGGCGTATTCAAGGGTGCAGAGATCTGCATGACCAAATTGGCGGTGTGATCATAGATAATGGTCTCAGATTGCTCCAGTTTTTGACGTAGGCGACCCATCACCACCAAAGGTCCGACTCCGTGGAATATTTTGGTGTTGGTAGATGCATTCTTAAGTTCACGATTGGTCAACTGGTTTCTCTTGAGGATTGCTTCCTTGGTAAGAGCGCACAAACGCAGGCGCATAATTTCCAGTCTTTTCCAGTCAGTCATCTAGTCAGTTTTAGTAATTGTTGTAGTAATACCTATTGTCCTGAAAGATCGCAACTTACCATAGGTGGCAGAATGGGTTTGCCATTCAGGCTATATCCCGACTCGAACTCGCCACCTCCATTATTTTCCAGTTCCATATGGAATACTAGTTGTTCTGTCTCATTGGCCATTTGCAGCAAATTTCGTGAAGATATTTCAGGTATCGAAAAGTTAGCGTTTTCTACAGGGGAATATTTTCAAGAATTTATTTGTTGTGTGATGTGTAGAGTAAAGGAATGGAATGGAATAGGAAAGGAATGTGAGTTGAGCCAACAACGGTTGACAGTTGTGGAATGAGTTTGTTTGCCTGGACTACTAGTCAACACACCGATGTTGGTGGAGTACATACGGAAAAATATTGGTATCGATACCACATAACAAAAGTGTTGGAAAATTAGTTATCATAATTGCATAACAGGGCTGTAAATATTTTTTCAAATTTATTTGCATCTACCATATGTTAATTACTATTTTAATACTTAGTGTGATTATTAAACAATGTTATCTTAAAGCTTAAGAAATATTAGTAGTGAAAAAGGATGATAAATTATCATAACGATATTATACTTTTTTCATAGTTCGTAGTCTTTAAAGTTTGAAGTTCAAGAGATGGTTAGAGTTAAGGAAGCTTGTCAAAAATGCTTGAGATATCTTTTCTTTTAAACCAATACCAAACTTTTTTGGACATTATTTTCTTTTGAGTGCAACCCACATGCAATCCCCGTCCGTATTTTTCCCCAATCCGAAGAGAAAGTCTGACAAATGCGTCGCTCGTCGCCGGAGCGTGCCGCAAAAGGTATATGTGCCTCGTAAGGGCAGTTGGAAGTCGGCAGTCGAGCGTGGAACTGGCAAACAAGGAGCCCAAATAAAGTCCACTCCATTACCGGCAGGACACTCGTCCTTCCTTCGTTTTTTTTTATATATGTAGGTGGACCGTCTGGAAATTTGTCTTGGGCGTTGTAGGTGTGATTTGTTTTTTAAATTTTGGGCCCGAGTTCCAGAAGCTGGCCAATTTGTCTCCCCCAGTTGGTTGACTTTTTATTTGCAACGAAGTCACGTAGCATTTTCACTTGCATACTTGCGACATGCGCCAATTTTCCACTAAATTTGCCATGTCAAACATATTTTGGAGCAACCTGCTTGCTCCCTGCCTCATAAAGAATTCAAATTAATACATTAACAACTTGAGATAATCGACCTTGGGGGGTGAATTCCGGGTGGTACTTCTAGTTGTTCAAACGACAGGTAATAAACGCCGAGTTGTTCGTGCCAAAGTCTCGAAAGTTTTGCTCCAAGGCAATTTGCCTCAAGTGGCAATTCGGGAGCGTGCCAAGTGCCTTGGTAACGGTAACAGCCCACGGATTACGGATCACGGACTACAAAAACCCAAGTGGGTTAAGGCGGTTGGGAGGGGGCACTCTACGGTTAACCGCCAGCACCACAAAAGGTATTTATCTCATTGTGCGCAGATTAAGAGCTGCTCTCAAATTAGGTGAGTGTCGTCACGTGACACAAGATGAGATCTAGATAGCGATGAAAGGATGATGAAATAACGGAAAGGTAGGCAGCATAACAGAGGAGCTTTAAGAAGGAGGATTGAATGGGATGAATAACATGGTAAAAATAAACTTTGATCCTGAGTTCCACCAGCTTTAAACACACTCTTTTCTAGATTTTCGGGGAAGTCAAATGAATTTTCTATTACTTTTTACATTTGGTTCAGGTTTTTCTAGATTTTTGAGCCAAAGAAAAACTTTTTGAAATTTTGTTTACTTAGATTTTTAAATTTAATACTTTTTATAATGGGTGATATCATGCGTATTTGCAAAAATGGTACACCACTTTAAGTCGACGAATAGGTATGCGAAAACCTATAGCACTTCGATGAGTTAAGCCACTCTCAGCAGGAAGTCTATATCCACCTCTGGTTATGCAAAGCTTAACCCCTTGAAGACCCCTTCCATTCCGATTCCAAACCGCGTTTTGTGCAAAAAGCCAGACAGACTCCGCTCCTGTTACACTTCATAAATTCAAAGAATTATGAGCCGTGACCCAGACGGAAGCGCAATGCAATCCAAGTGGCCGAGTGGCCAGGACACAATGAGTCCGAAGGGCGGAGGTCAACAGGTAATAACGGTTGCACGATTGGTTGGCCCCGACAATTTCCGCTGAATTTACAACCAGGGGTAGATGTCGGTGTGGATTACAACCATGCTTTTTATTTTATTACCCCCTGTTTTATGGTCGCGACAATCGATGAAAGCTGGGCATTGATTTTCGCTGATTCCAAGGAAAGTTCAAGAGTTGAAGTTCAAAGCTTCCGCATTCACTTTAATTGAGTTGCCCGGGTCTCATGCATATGCAGGGCTCAATTAAAAGTGCGCCAAGAAAAACCGAGAAAGACAAACACAGGCGCGAAGAAAAACTCCTTGGAGGGGTGGAAAATGTCTGCAAGTGACTCAACTGAAGGAGTCTCCTGTCTGTTGACATTTCGCGGTATGGAAAAAATTAAATTAAAATGCAAATTAGGCGTTCCTACCGAGGAGTCTGGCCTGCAGTCTGCGATTCCCCCTTTTGCGTCTCGGGCAAAAGTGACAAATTGTTGTAAACACTGCACAAGTTACGTATTCGCCTCGTGGGACCTCGACTGTCACCTACGAAAAGCGGGGGTTCAGGGATGGAATACCTATTGTATACATATTTTAGCACAGCCAAGAGGTCCCGACTTTTTAGCCAAGATGAATGTTTTTATTTCTGCGCCTTTCGCCTGCGTCCTTCCTTCTTTTCTGCGGTGAATTATGCAAAGTAGTTGCGTAATGCTCTTGTTACAATAATTTAATCTTGTAATCTGTTTCTGTTCGACTCCGCAGCAAGTGCCATAAATAATTCAGCTGGCCCGCTGCTGCAGAAGCGGATTTCTCCTTGGAAGGAATCTTTGCATTTTTAATTTCAAGGTAAACAAGCGCAGATAACTTCGCCGCCAGAAACGGAATCCTAATGAGCCTCTCCTCAAGGTGACTTCACTTTGGATCCTTGGATTGACATTTCAGCGGGAGGCTGAGCAAGTTAATTCAATTTCCGCAAGCTGAAACAAAAATAAAAGAAGAAGGCACAAAGTTTATCCAGGCAACCCCTTTCTTGGTTCTGTATGCTTAAGAAGGGGGCTCTAACGAACCACATTTGCGGCTGGCTAATTATGCCATACACAGCCTTTGAAGAGCTCTTTAAAAGCACAGGTTAATCTTACCGTAAGTTGGGGAAATATTTTTTAAATATATCAAGGGTGCTGCTAAAGTGATAGACTCACTTATGTTATAACGTGCTTAAAAGTATGCAACAGAATATCAGCTAGACTCATTCCGAAGAAGTACTTTTTTAAAGCATACTTTTTGACACCTTTACTAAAAATTTTCGAGACAATAAAAATAATTGGTAATAAGATATTCTTAACTTCAAAAGCTTATAGCATAGGACATTAACCATTTTTCAGCTAATTACCCGTGCTCATCCTTTGATAAGCTCTTAAAGGATTCCACGTCAAGGCAGGGCCATAAATCAGCTGTCACAAAATGTAAATCCACCGGCAAAAAGAAAATCGCAGACAATATAAAATTTCAATAACATTCCCGGCGTGTCTTGTCCTTTGGCACAAGGTGCACATGGAGCATCCAAATGGTCCCACCCATTTTCGAAGCAATAAGGATACGTTTTCTGTTTTTTTTTTGGGAGGATGGAGCCGGTTAACAGGATCCGAGCGGAAGCAATACACGTTGACACGTCGCAGGGATACAAAATGTGGCGCTGTTAGTTCCGCAGTTTCGCCGGAGACAAAGGACAGCGGCGTAATGTAACGGAAACTCTATTGAATTGCGATAAAAATCGCGTTTGCCAGCGAGCACCCTTTGAACCGCCCCGCCCCTTCGTCCTTTTCGTCCTCGGGCTGCAGGAGACACGGGTTTAGCCGTTTTAAAGCATACTTTGCGGCTTGTCAACAGGCGGCAAAATTTATTGCAAATGTACGCCAAAAGAGTTGCACGAAGTGTGAGACGTTTGTGGATCTAGTCGGGTGGTTTTCCTATAGGGAAGGTCATGAGAAGTGACACGAGTGACTTTACCTTTACTTAAAGGAGTAATAAATTTAAAACAATTTCGCATATTAATATATTTTTTAATAAAGGTGTCTAATACATGCATTCTAGATGTTTTCATTTTGAGAGAAGTCTCTTGTTTATTGCATACTTTTAGACACCTTTGTTAAACATTTTAAAATCCAAGGAATTCGGTATCCGACTGACTAATCTATTAATATACGCATGTTCCACGATTTTTTTCAGAATTGGTTTTGATATAAACTTTAAATTCCTAGTAGAAGTGTAAATAAAATTCGTGCTTTTCTACTAACTTTCTTCTTCATTTTGGAATGCTGTTCCCGCTGACAATGTTATCGTTACGGTTATTGATTGAAATTTTTTACACTTTGCTTGTTGCCACGTTTCCTGCCCCTTAACCCGCTGTCATCCGAAGAGTAGTGACATTCGGTGACGGCGACCAAGGGTTAAGGAAAACGACAGCTGTTGTTCTGGTTTTCAACTCCTTCGGTTTTTGTTCTGATATTAGGAAAGAGTGAAACCCCCAGGCAGGCAGTCATCATCTGGGGCAGGTATTCTTAGGCCATTTCCTTTCGGCATCCATATGGCTGCGTTCTGGCTTACACGCACATCCTGTCAGTTGCAGGACCTTTCAGGACCGAAGGACCATCCACATCACCTACACAATGCGAGCGGAGACGCACAATGGCCACATCAATTGTGCATTTCATTTAACTTGCCACGCCCGTGTGACTTTTAAGTGTTGCCTTCTATGGTACATACCCCTAGAAAACCCCCTGAAAATCCCCCTCTTAACCCCCTTTTGCCGGCTTTCCACGAGTGCTGGACATGACAGCTTCTGCATGAGCAACTCGCTCTCCAAAAGCTGCCCCTATGGCAAACATGTTGCTGCCAAAAGGCCGAAAGCCAAGGCCCGTTGTCTGTAGGTTTTTAGGTGTGTTTAGGTATTATCTTGTACGGGGTGTGATGCGGGGGAGGGGGATGGGAATGTAAAGGGGTGGTGCTGGTGGTGAGCATGTGGCATGTGGAAAGCCCCACCCACAGCCCTACTAAACACCGCCCACAGCAAACTTTGTGTGCGTTTGTGTCATTGTTAAATTTTGCGCTCGAACGATCTGCAACGGATGACATCCGTATGGCAGGCAAGTTACTTTTTGATTTACAGTATGCTACTT